TATCTATCTATCTATCTATCTATCTATCTATCTATCTATCTATCTATCTATCTATCTATCTATCTATCTATCTGTCTGTCTATCTGTCTATCTGTCTGTCTGTCTGTCTGTCTATCTATCTGTCTGTCTGTCTGTCTATCTATCTCTTGTATGACTTATGTTACTGCATTGTTGCAGAGTAGACAGCTTCGGGCTAGAAATAACCAAGTTTGATCAAATTTTCTGATTACTGTAAAACATATCAAAGTAAACAAATAAATAATGCAGTCGAAGGGGAGAAATGCTAGGTGGAGAATGAAAATGAATGGAAGACTCCCCCTTGTGGATAAACCGACAAGTGATTATTATGTGTGTTTGTGGACCCGGGAGGGATTTGACCATGGTCAAGCTGAGCCCCTGCTGATATTGAATTCATCATAAAGGAAAGAACAACAGCACTGATGCAACAGTGCCATGCTCTACAGAAGAGCTGAAATCCATATTTATAAAAAAATATAAAGATCCAACATACAGTATACACACTTTGTCTGATAGTGGATGTCTAAAAAAAAAAACTTGGTCTATCAGCTAAGCAAAAACAGTACAATAAATGCATTTGCTTGGCTCCATGATACACATTATTTTATATTTTTTATAAGAATTGTCAATATATTACATCTTTTTTGACATTTTTATCATAAATTTCATCACTCGTTTACAGAATAAAACATAAATCAAGTTTACACACCAGCACAACACTGTAAATCATAAATAAAGAGAAACCTAATATGTTCAAGAGGTCTCTTTTTTATGGCTGTGTATGTGTCCCCGTGTATAATTCAAATATTTTGTGTGGCAAACAACCAAGCAAATTTAATTTATTGTGTTAGTGATGATTAGGCTTTTGCTGATTAGCCTTTCAATGTTTTTTTAATCATCTACCATCTCATATAGATTTCCTCTGCTCTGCACAATATACCACTGTTGCATCAATCTTGTTGATCTCTGATTTGTGATGAATTAAATACCAGCATTTAATATACTGTAAGTATATATATATATATATATATATATATATATATATATATATATATATATATATACACACACACAAAATACCCTCCCCCCACCACCACCACTGACAAAGTTCAGAAAATGACCCCTATTTGAGCCCTATTTGGTTGCTATGCCATCATAAGTTGTAAAAAACGATTGATAGAATAAGACTTTAAGACTAATTTTAATCATTCAAGTGGCCAAATTCTGACTGAGGAAAGTTAAATGAGCTAGCTAGTTTGTTATTTGCCTATAGGCTACAGGTTTTATTTTAAAACAAGCTTTACCAGATTGTTTTTTAATGATGAATGATAACAAATGTACAATTAGGCTAAGTATTTTTATGCCAATCTCACAACAATATTTAAATTGCAAATATTTATGTTGCATCAAAAAAGTGTGGTTATGATCAATTTAATTCATAATTATTTCTATAGCGCTTTTACAATGTAGACTGTCAAAGCAGCTTAACGTAAAAGTTCTAGTAAAATGAAACTGCGACAGTCCAGATTTTAGAGTTGAAGTTCAGTTTAGTTCAGTTCAGTGTGGTTTAATTCTCCAAACATTGAAGAGCAAATCCATTGATGCACAGCTCCACAAGTCCCAAACCAAGCAAGCCAAGGGCGATGAACAAAACTTCACCAATTGATGAAAGTGAAGGTAAGAAACCAGGCTATTTTGAGTAAGACCATTTCTCTTCTGGTCAAACTTCATATTTTTATTCTTCAAAATAGCTAAAGATCATGCAAAACATGTTCACGTCAAGATTTAAAAATAGTAGATTTTTATCCCTACCATTTTTCCTACCATGATGTTGGCAGTGGCGGTTAGGTCATTGTTTGATGATGGTGATTAAAGATTTTGAGTGTTGAAAATTATTGTAAGACAGCATATTGCTGGTAAGAGATTCCACATCACAGACAATATTGTCATGATGCTTCTCATAACAACTGCAATTCAAAATGTCATTCTAGTCTTCCTTGCTGCAACAACTTGTTCCTTTCAGTTGTGTTCTGCTTGTTTTCACAGGTAACAACAGCCTGTCCTGTTTATTTAGCAATTCTTAACTAATTTGTGAAATATAAATGCACAAGACCAAAGTGGCAAAATATGAAGTGTTTTTATGTGAAAGAAAAAAAATTAAGTACAATTCTTAGTGCCATTCCAGTCTAACCTACTGTAATAAATACTTCAATCTCAGTTCTGCTGTCACTGTTTTTTTTTTCCGGTAAGAACATCATATGCTTTATTTCATATGATCACCATCCGACAAGCTAATCCAGCAAAGATTAGTTCTTAAAATGTCAATAAAATGCATAATTGAATAGAAAATGAGGCGAATAACTGCAAAAAGGTCCACTTTTTCAGAAAAAAAAAGAACCACTCCTTTTAATAGGCTGGCTACGGGTCTAAAATGTAATGCAGTGATCGGGCTTAGGTTGAAACACAACATTTGTTTATTCATGCAAATTAGCATAAGGTATAAATAAAAAAAAGTTAATAGCCAATATTGTTTACCTTTAATTTAGTGCAGAAGATACTGATAATAGTTTGGTGTTAAATGGTTGTTTTCCATGGCACAGGACCAAAGAAAACATTATGTCTCTTTGAACAAGATGCATATCTGTTTCTGACAGCAAAACAAACCCTAGGTGCCTAGTGTTTATTAAAAAGCACCATTCCCTCATGGTGCATTTAAATGAACGAACACAAGTCTAAGATAACAAGGCTTTATAAATCTACATCTCACTTTCAAGGGGGGGACACGTTGGTTTAACAGCCTTGTCAGAACCTGATGTGAGGAATAAGTGACCCTCGACCACTTATCCACAGTTATCTATGTAAATCCAATCGTGCGTATGCAAATCCTGACATGTAAATGTGCCATTGAGCTACTTAATGTAGTGATTACAAAAATGGGGTCCATTACAGCAACAGAATGTCGTGAGATCTGAGAACTACTCCATTACTAGTCACATCAAACGGCTTCAAGAGGAAGTCATTTTTAGCATTCTCTTCATTTAAACTAAACTAGCATCGAGGCTCTGCTTGTCTGTCTGCATCGCTCGTCCCCAATGTCTAAGATTCTCAGTGTGTCTGGGTGAGGTCTTGTTTGACTTGTCTCTAGGGAAGATGCTGGAAGGAAATGTCTTCGACGCGATGTGGCGACATGGCCCTGGGGGTCATGTGACAGCTTTAAAATGGCCTTTTGATTCCGATTCACAGCCCATAATAACCCCGCTACCAGATCTAAGGCTCTTTTATGTCGCCTCTGCAACCCTATCCAGGGAATTTGCACTGCCGTCTTGTCCTCTCGCTGCATTTCACCAGGGAAAACTATGCCGTCGAGAGAAAAACCATGAAATGGGAGAGAGATGTGCTTTGTGTGCATATTCCACATAACATCATAACTCACTCTTCTTCTCCCCTCAAAAAAAAAAAAAAAACAGTCAGGAAATACCTTGACTCCTCTAGGCGAAGTTGCTGCACACAATAAATCTAAGAATGTAGATCTCTGGGACCTGGGATAGACAAATCACGGCCTTTTTGATCATCTAAGGGTCAAAAAGAGCAAGAAAGTCACTTCAGATATGTCAGAAGACAGAAGGAAACAAAGAAAAGAAATAGATAAAAAGGAAAATAGACATGTTGTATTAAAGTTGCTATGGGTCTTATAGCCATATAGCTGAATAGCATAGTTGATTTATTTAAAATTGTCTTTTCAAAAGCAGCCTTTTACAAATATAAAACATATGCTGTGATTTATGGCCTTCATGCTGTATGAATAGAGCTTACCTGGTTGAGGACTATGAAGGGAGACTGTAGCCTGGAGCAACAATACGACTTCATTCCTGGTTCATTCATTCTGAAGATCACAAGAAAAAAAAACGCTTGAACCAAAAGACACATGTACCTTTCCATTTAACAGAAATGCCTTTCTTTTCAACGCATAATGGAGCTGAACCCCATTCTGTGCTGCTAAGAGCAAGTGCAAAAACTGTCTACAATACCCTTTAAGTTCCTAAAGCAGTTTTCTTTCATGATGGCGCCATCGTTCCCCGTTGTGGGTAGAATAAACAGTGGGATGACCTGTGACCTCGGGCTTTATGATCTCATAAGCTCAAATCCAGTTTGTGGTTGAGCTGGCCATACTCCTGTGTGCATTTATTTCCAGTATTACACTTCAGCGGACTGGAGTTCAGTCTCATGGTGGAATGTCTGGAGTGCGACAAAGACAGAAAGTCAATATTTTTTCTGCATTTCTATCTGGTGTGGGTCTACATAGATCTACAATTGTAAAAACATATTAAAACAAATGCTAGCACGCAAAACGTGAGCAATCTCATGTTACTGTAAATGGTATACAAAATACAGATAGCAAGGAGATGTGTATACTATTGTATAGTTATAATAAATGTAAAAGTAGTATTTATGATGAATCTGGTGAAAGGAATTTGATTTAATAATAAAATATCTGTCCTTTTAACCATTACAGGGCTTTAAGATTTTTCAAACTAAAGAGTAGCTTGCATTACCATTTCTGTAGGTTGGTTTTGCAATCAGTTTTTGAGGTTATTTGTTATTTAAATGTTCTTAGTCTTATTTTTATTATATTTCTATCATTAAATGTCATATGTACTTATACTTATTTTTAATATATCAATCTATAATATTCTAAAAATAATTTACACCACTACTTCTGATACTTCTGATAACGATTTTGTTTTACTTCATTTAACAATCGCTGGACAGTTACACTAATACATAATAGGTTACAATCTAACTTAAAAGCTCATCAAAATTAAGAATATTTTAATTCTAAAACTTAAAACACAATGATAGAATGTTTTTGAACGACAGATAGTGATATCAATATCAGAATGTATTTGAGACTACTAAAAATGCTGAGAGACAACTAAGGCCATGTTTGCTGCCAGTGAAGAAATGTGTTTTATATGAAAGGAGGCCTGTTCCGCTGACTGGATTGCGCAACAGGCCAATGGATTGGTGGCTCCCCGGACTCGCTCTCCACCTCCCTTACGTTATAACTACTAGAGCCCCTTGAGCAAGAGATGCCAGTATATCTCTCATATTAAAATTCAGAGAGCCACAGCAATGGATTCAAGCACTGACGAGACTTTAAATCTCACCGCGTTTCTACAGACAGATCCGTACATTGCACATTATGAGGGAGAGCTGCGTAGAAGGTAAACGCCCTTTTGATAAACTTTTAATGAATTCCACTTGCCTGATTAGGTCGATTTATTCGTTGTATGCACATGGTTCTAGTGGGTTTTCCTCAAAATTATAAATTAAACTATAATCCGGATGTGTTGTTTTCTTACAAGCGTTGTTCATCATCGCGTCACTCTAGCGCGCGAGTCTTTGCTGCAGCAGTCCAATCAGAAATTCGCACGTGCTGTGCTGCACCTTGCATGCTTATTAAAGAAATATGAGTTGTTTGTATTTATGTACAATCGCTTCCACAGCTTAGAAATCTCTCAAAATGCCATTTATTATAATGCCAACATATATATGTAATTTTATAAAACATTAGTAATTTAAAGAAAATAAATATATCTTTCTAACCACCGGGTGTCGCTATTACATGCCTTCAATTAGGCAGCACTTCTTGTTATGAAATAAAACTAACCGACCAAACTGAAGGAAACATAATTGATAATCACATTTTGGCGAGACATGGCGCACCAAGAAAAAGGAAAACCAACAGTCAGTGCTTCAGTCATGTTGGGGCAAAGATTTTTTCTTCACAGAGGTCAGCGGGAAATGTATCTGTTTAATTTGCCAGAAATCAGTTGCAGTAATGAAGGAATTTAATATTAAAAAACATTATGAAACAAAGCATCAGGCCTTCAGCTCTTACTGGTGCAGAACGAGATCAAAAAGTAAAACAATTAGCAGCTGCCCCTTCAGCTCAACAACAGCAGTTTTTTCGTGCTAGTGCAAGAAAATTCTACACTTTTTTTATATATTTTTTGTCTTGTTTCAAGTCCAAATATCTAAAAAAAATCTTAAATAAAGGAGAATTTTCTAATTTATTAATAAATAATATGCAATTATTAAGTGAGTTTCCTTAAAACAAGCAAAATAATCTGCCAATGGGATAAGCAAAAAAATCTAGTTTTTCCTTTTGACATAAGATTATTTTGCTTACCCCCTTAATTTGCTTGTTTTAAGGAAAAACTCACTTAATATTAGCATTTTATTCCTCAAAACTGTATGTAAAATTTGCCCCGGGACAACATTATTATTTTTATTTATTTTTTATTTTTTTGCATCTGGCATTCGGCAAAGTTTGGACATAGGGCTCAACCTGTGCAGTGCACATGCCCTTTTTAGTCTTGGATATAAAGTGCCCTTCCAAAATGATCAAAAGTGCCCCCGCGACACGACACATCCTCCGTCGCGCCCTTCAGTAGGCGCGCAACAACACCGCTCTTGAGTACGCACGCTCAACCCACCTCCCTCCCCCCGCTTTACAATACGCGCGCAACAACACAGCTGATCAGAACGCACGACAACACCGCTCTTCAGTACAGTCTCTGCACGGGCCTGTTGGACACCCCTGCATTACAATAATAAACTACTTGATAAAAGGAATGATTTATTTTTGTGTTTTTCAATCAGCAAAGTTCTTTAAACAATTTCCGTTCACACTGATTAAAAATGGTTAAAATTAACTAATTCATTCATTCATTGTCTTTTTGGCTTAGTCCCTTTATCTTGGGTCACTACAGCAGAATGAACTGCCAACTTATCCAGCAGAGGTTATTATAGCATACCCGATTCACCTATAGGACCTACCACATGTCTTTGGACTGTGGGGGAAACCTACACGAACATGGGGAGAACATGCAGACTCCACACAGAAATGCCAACTGACCCAAGAGGCTCAAACCAGCAACCTTCTTGCTGTGAGGCAATTGTGCTACCCATTGCGCCCTCATGTTGCCACGGTTAAAAATACTGGTTAAAAAACTGTAGCAAATACACCTACTGTATTAAGTGGACATGAGTTGTACAATTTAACTCATAGTATTTGAAATACAGAAGGAGTCCATTGCATTTGACACTGTTCCATGAGGCCACAAGACAAATTGTATGAATGGAAGTGAAGCATCATGGTGGATATTGTTGTCTGTATGACTTTTACCAGCGATTTATTATTTTTTTTTATTTCAGAGTGATGAGAATGACTATTACTTGTCATTGGAAATTACATTACATAGCTGTAATGGTTTTTAGGTTAAACATTTCATGTTAGCCTATATGCTTTGACTCTTTCTATAGCCTACTACTCTGTCATAAAAAGCATACCTTGTAATTGTTGTGAAGTTTAAAATAAAAGTAATACCTACTCAGACAGTATGCAATAGGGACTTATATGCAAAATACTTTTAATTTCAACCAGCCAGCCTCAGTGCTTCTGTTGAACTGTCTTTCCATTATAAAATTGCCATATTAAAGGTCTGATTTCTTTAAAAATCAGTAATCTTCATTGCCTGATAGATATACGATACTAAGTGGGTCTAAGGCTAGACAAAAAGCACTGCATTAAATTAAATTTTCCCCCGCCATGTCTTTAAAATATGACTGTTTATTTTACCCTAGTATTTTCAGTGAAGTCTTTGCTCTCGCCCGCTGATCCTGTGGTTACACGTGGCTAGTGGTTATACGGTCTTTCATCTTGTTTTAAGCTTGGATAACTATATAAAGGAAGTCTATTTGACTGAATGTATTTTAATGACATTACAACATCAATTCTGTAAAATAAACCTTATAAAATTGAAAATAATCACATTAGGCTTTCACCGGAAGTTTATTGTTGGCTGAAAGACACTAACTGTGCATATAGCCCATTGTGGAGGATGAACCAACAGTCATATAGTCCATCATTATTTTGGTTCAAGTATGTTCACGCCTACAGTCTGTATACAAAATAGAAAAATAGATAAAACATAAGTCTATTTTCACAGTCTCATCTCCACCCATGTTGTTTGCTTTAATTAAGGTCATATGTTTTTAATATTTTTTATACATAGTTTGTCATTTCCGCGTAATGTCTCTTTTTTAATGTATAGAAAAGTCACAATGTTGTTTTGGTGACCTGACCAGACTACCCCTCACCTCAGAATACCCATGACACCATCTTGCAGTCTACTCGATGGCATAATAATTTGGGACTGATGTACAGCACCTGCATGTGCTATATAGAGTAAACGTGAGCAGCTTTACAGTGACTGTCATGGATTCCAGACATTTTTTTGATTATTAATGTTCATATAGAACTCATGGTGAAAGATATAGGACTGTCAGCCAGTCCAGTAGACAGAGAAAGCAGCTAATTGGCCAGAGCTTGTGAAAACAGGGTGAGATGGCACACGGAGAGACAGCGTCTGAGCTTGGCAGGTTTCCCCCATACCACCAGCCAGTCGTCATACCTTGTTAAAATTCACTTTAATGTCTAGAGCCTCTCAGACAGACACACTCGTGCAGACATGGGCACATGCACCCGAGACTTCCATGGGATGATTTTTGTGAGACTGGGAGACAGAAAGTGAAAATTAAGTCAGGCATTGTCAGCAGAATATTGTCACAGGGGGTTTCAGTCATGACGAGCGTTTGACAGTAAACTTTCTGCTGAAAAAGAAAATGCTTTTGTGAAGTATGCAAATGCACTTTGCCATTCAAAATATCCCAATACCCACTTAACACCACGTTTATTTTCTTACAGCTTCATTCCTTTAGGGAAGGTGCAATATGGAGTATGCAATATTTTTGAAATCTCAGTCATATGATTGTCTGGCATCTCATTGGTCAGGCTGTGAACAGGTTTATTTTAATGGTGATTTATAATATTTCATCATGTAGTAGACACTCAATACAGTGGATTATATATATATATATATATATATATATATATATATATATATATATATATATAACTGTATATAGTTGCCTAATGACCTATTTCTATAACATCAAAATTAAGGAAATGTTGAAGCTCTACTTAAAGGCAGGATTTTGCTGTCAATAATAATCTAGCACATATATAGTTTATGCAGCTGCATGTCAGTGAGTAGTTGAAGGGATGTTTTTAAATGTATTGTATTGTGTGATAATACTGGAACAGAGAGCAGACTGTGGATGAGAGCTGTATGGCAGAAAACATTGCTGCTCTATAAAAGGATTTGCCACTGATGACAACCGCAGCAAACTCATCGCAGCACATTAAAAACTTCCAAATTCCTTTGTGGCATCGCCACTCATTACGTCACATGAAAAGGCTCTGGGCATATTTTTGTTCTGAGTGTTAAGGATCCTGACCAAGAAAGTAAAATAAGGCACAATAATATACAGTTGAAATCAGAATTTCTATCCCCCACCTCCCCACCCAACATTGATTATTTTTTCTCTTTTTTTTATATTTCCGAAATTATGTTTAATGTGTTAACAATGATTTATATATAATTTTTCATTAGCATTACACATGCAAAAATCAAGTGCATAAACAGTAAGAGCTTTCTCTCAAGCTCTCTTTTACAGCCTTGGATAGAAACTAAATATCTTGACCCAATTAGGTTTTGATGCAGAGAACTTTCCATTTATAGTGTGGTCTTAAAATGTACCAAATATTCACAAAGATGTTCATGTTTAGGGACCAGATGCCATGGGCCATGGCGGATCTACAGATCTTTTTTCCACTTAAAAGGTCAAAGTGGTTTTAGCTATTTATTTATTTATTTATTTATTTTTATTTATTTATGTGAATTTAGAACATAATTGTGTGTAAATAAAAAATACCATATTATATACTATATTACTTTATTTTATATAATTTTATATAATTCTGTCCAATATCAATACCAATGTCCAATAATCACTTTCTTGTCAGTGCTATCTTGTCACAGTGCCAAAAAAGGATACAGTGCTGGCTGGAAGTTAACATTTAATTGGGTTTTATTAACATCTACCCCAACTCTAAACTTATGAAATAATCCCAAAAAGCAATGGACTGTGTAAAGCCAACAAAAGCACAAATATTCAAGTTTAGCATCTGGAATCAACTAAGGTTGATATGATAGCCAGTAGTAGATACTTGTCACTTTAGTAACCAAGCCTTTAATTATGCAGAATTGAAAAGCTTAAAGCTGCAGTATGTAAGTTTGACACCCAGTAGTTGAAG